GGGAAATCCATGGCAAACTTCGGCAAGGGACATGCCTTAATGTGAGCCTATGCAAACCTGTCCAGTAGATATTGCTCCCTGCGGGTGTTTCGACGCCTGTCACAGTCACCGATCCACTCATCCACCATGATCTGCTAGCAGGCGTTCATTGATGGCTGACAGCTGGTCTAATGAAGGGTTCACCGACGTTGGCTGGAGGTTGTCACTGATTAAGCAAACCAGAGTCGATTCAACTTTCGCTTCAGACAACAAAGGTCGCGAAGACTGTGGTGGTAACTATCGTCGAAAATCAACATACATTGAACACAATCCTATAAGACCTAACAAAACCATTCCACCAGAAACCTGACCGACAGAATGCAAAAGATGGCCAACCTAAACTTTAAGCACCACTGACTACCATTGGCGTGCAACCTCACTTTTGACCATGAATAGCCCACAGAGTTTCACCCTCATGAGTTGAGGCTTCTGTTCTGCTTGATTCTAGTCAAATGCCCGCTCTAACGTAGTTGCAGTTGCAATTTGATGAGGATAAGGTTTTCTAGTATTGCCTCGATGTGGGGTCGATTAGGAAAGAAAAGATTTGTTCGTCTGGAGGTGTCATCAGTACAAAAAGCTTCAGCAGGTTAGTTGATGGATGTGTGCATCGTTGTGCAATTTGATTTAGACGAGTTAGTGTAACGAGAGGTAAGCTGATGATGCTAATATTTCGTAGGAACATTTTTTGCCAGGTATTACTCGTCACTGACCCAGATTTTGTATATTTGCAAACACCTTGCGAGAGATGCAGCTGCTGAAACTGAAAATAGTCTCGTATAAACAGTTCATTGGTACCAGCACTGCAGCTATATCGCGCCATGAAAAATGAAGAGGCTTACATCTTTATTAGGAGGAGAAGGTGTCGTCATACACCTGGACGAAACTGTCTTATTGAAGAAAAAGTACAACCGTGGTTGTGAGCGATGTTGAGGTGATCAGCTTATATGACACCTCTCTACAGAAAGAATTCGTTGAGAGAATAGCAGATAGAAAGTCAACTGCCTTAGTACTTATTATCAGTCGACTGGTGAAACAGGGAACTATAATACACACCGATGAGCACAGAGGTTATAACTCTCTGTCATCCCCTGAATATTTCATCACAGGTTGAACCGTTCTAATGATTTTGTGGATGCTATTACAGGGACACACACCAATTCTTTCAAAGGCTTCTGGGAAGGTTAAAACCAAGATTAGAGCCATCAATGTATCGTAAAGCGATTTCATTTGAAGTCATTCAAAGGAATATATTCGTAGGATGAGGTCTAACTTTTCCTCTAATACTCCTATGCAAAAGTGGGAGATGTTTATATCATATGTAACAGGAAGGTAACTTATATAGCACTTTCATACAGTTTTGTGCATCTTTCCGTTATTATATATGTTGTCAATGCACGTGAACATTGAACGTTTGTTTATTGGAAATGGCAACCATTGGTGGGCAATTCGAAGGCGCGAATGGAACGATCGCTTGCAAGTTGGAGGAAGGTGGAAAGAACACGAATAAAAGTACCTTATAACTTCACTTGTACTTAACATTTGTTTGCAGACTTTGTATTTTGTCTCGCTTTAATTGTCAAACAATATAATTTCGTTCAAGGAATACTAGTGTTTTGGATTTAAGGTTGAGATAGATACATAGTATTTATCGGTTCAAAACGAAAATGTCTTCACTAGAATAGGAACTTAGGGCTAAGTTCCTTGACATATGTGGTCCATATCCAAAAATACCTCTTTCACGTGTTTGGTGCATCCAAGGTCATTTGCTCATCGGCAGTTAGTGGTGCTTACAGTTTAACTTTAACGCAAAGAGGTGACCACTACCGCGAGGGCGACAAAATCCTTCAACAGAACAGTGAAGAGCAGGCTCTTGATCAACCGTATGGGAACCTTCATACCAACGATGGCCTGTGACATAGGATAGGGGCACAAATAGCCTAGAGAGAGGCTGAGAACCTGAAGGTCACCTGGTGGGAAGGAAAACAGGGAATAGGTCAGGTCCGTAGTCATTATTTAAAATTATAAACATTGTGATTAAATCTCCTCTCTGCTTACATTATGACAGGGAGAAGAGATTTAAACTGTCCAATCATTCCTCGTATGATAAATAAGTCATGCCGAGATCATACGTGTTGCCTTCCTTTGAACCCTTTATAGAATATGTGAATCCCCTTTAAAACAAGGACCGGCTACCCAGATAAAGTTTTCCAGTCTTGACCTCACTAGAGATGTATATAAGGAGGTGAACATATCTCTGGTGATTCTAGTAAAGGCACTCCGAATTACCCAAAAGGATATGAAACTACGTGCAGCCACCGCGCGATAGTGTTCTGTAGTTTTTAAGTCGTGACCTACTGTGAAACCTACATCCAAATGAGTCTAAACCGATGGGAGTTTTGTTGCCTCCAGTCCGCAGGGTCCGATACTTGCGTGTCCAATGTGCATGGCTGCACATTTCGCTGAGTTGATCGGGAGCATCCATCCTCTGGACCAATCTGACAATTTGTTGAGGTCTTCTTGCAGCGTGAGCGTATCACTGTCGCCCTTCAGTTTTCTCCAGGTTTTAAAGCCATTGCTAATGGGATCATGGGGGAATCGGTGAGCATACATAACTCATTGATACACAAAATAAATAGGAGAGGTTCGAGTACCGTGCCTTGTGGTACTCCGCTATGCACTGTTGTCCAGCTGGAGAGTTTCGAGTTGATCCCGGCCCTATGCCTCCTATCTTTGAGGAATTCCATGAGCCAGCCTAGTAATCTGCCTTTGATACCAAGACTTTCCGACTTTATGAGTAGTCTTTTGTGAGGAGCTTTATCAAAGGCTTTGCTGAAGTCTATGAAGACGACGTCGACAGGTTTTCTGTTGTCCCTTGATTTGACCCAGCTTTCTCTTGCAGTGAAGAGATTTAACAGGCATGAAAGATTTCTTCGGAAGCCGTGCAGTGATCTGGATAACATTTTGTTGTTTTCGAGATATGCCTTGATACTTTTCTTGATGATTCTTTCCAGTGTCTTGATTAAAGTGCTGGTGAGACTAATAGGCCTGTAATTTGAAGGGTATTGTCTTAAGAAAGGCATCTCGCAATGGTCGAAACTGGAGTCATGCTTCGCATATCAAAATCGGTGACCACCGACGTAGGTGGAATCCACCACTATGATGCACACAAATCCATAGTAAGGAGAAATTTCAGTCTGCTCCTCGATCGCAATTTGATCATTTACTGAAAGTACACTTCAACTGGAAGTAGGTAATAAGGGTTATCAGGACAGTTATCAACAGTTTCGTCCTAATGATATCAGCATCTCTCTGAAACAAAGCTCAATAGACCAAAAGAGGATGGTAAAAACGACAACTTCCAGATAGGTAGTTCAACTACATGGAATCCCTAGACACCATACATATGTATATTACTGAAATTCGATTGGATGGAACTTTCCAGGCAAATCTACACAGCAAGCTGCAAACCAGCCGCTGGAATCTGTACCGATTCATGGGTTAGACGGGAAGCACTAGCCAGAAGGGCTAACTTCCAAGTAACCTAAGTACACATTGGGCCCTTGGTGATGAATTCGAAAGACAGTTGAATAACTAGGAATAAGACGAAGAACACACCCCTGGAGCAACCACAGTTTCAATCTGGCATCGCATGGATCACTTGTGCGCAAATAACGGCAAGTGTGTTTGTGAGGAAGCTAACAAAGTTTCCTCAGGACACGAGTACACCAAATCCGTAGTTCACAAGTTGTGTTACAGCTGCTTGGGCACACACTGGACGGATGTTAATTGCCCAGAGGCCAAAAAGTGGGCACTCTTATCACCTACTTCCAGGGGAGAGTAGCATCCGGCAGTAATACAACTAACACTACCATGTGTGATGAGAAGCCCATTTAGTGATCACACTTGGATCGTCTGAGGGTTTATAAGCTGCCAACTTGCTGGAAGCTAGAGATAACTGGATATTTAGATGGAACGGGAATACTTCAGTCCATATCCTGCTCCTGGGGTTTGAGGAAGCCTCCAGCTTGTTTTCCTACGAAATTTTACCCCACAAAGTCTGAAAAATGGGAATAAAACACACGTAGCTATCTGGGACTGGTGTTCGTCTGGATGGCATATAACGTGAACAGAGCTGAATTAAGAGGGCTGTACATGGTGAAAGATAGTCAGTGGTGTATTTGAGAGGGAAACTCTTGGTCAATTATTTTTATTTGTCAATATATACAATTTCCCAAATCATTTAGGCTCTCCAATGCTTCTCGATGCACAGGATGTATTTCTATAGAGTCATAAGAACTGATGAAGAATCGATCTAGCCACAGGAAGACAACATGGAGAAGAGGTCTACATAAAATTAATAAACTTTCAATATCAATAAATCTCAGGTAGTAGAAAACAGTTCTCGCACATCTCTAATATTAAATCGGAAGAGGGCTAACTTTCTAATTGAGATAAGCCACCTATGGAATTCACTTGTGACTGACGTAGCGATCGTTCTATCAGCCCATAGCTTCAAAAGAGGACAAGGCCAATACTTAAAAAAGATAGGTTGGCTCTCAGGAAAGTCTATAGGCTTTAAGATGTACTGGTGGTATCCTCTTTATTTCCATATGCTTGAATAGTTTACTCTACTTCATTTTTTCTGACTCTGCTGGTCTCTTTCCATCCTTTTATCTCTGTTATGTGTAAATGCTCTCATTGCCTTGCGTGTCTGGCACCAAGTTGTCTAAGAAGTTATTGTACATTGTACTCATAATTATTGATGAAAACTCAACATAAAAGCATAAAAGCCCAAAAGCGTTATCGGTCTGTCAGAATAGACCCATAATCTAGATTTTCAAAGTCATTGGGGTTTCGTTTAACCTGGCAGTCTGAAATGATTAGTGGTTGTTTAAATTTTATACTTTCAGAATGGACAATGAAAGTGGGTAGTTTATGTTTCCACTCAGAATTCGTGTGGGATGGGCATTTTTTATTTTCACATAGTCCTTGGTAAGTGTTCCATGGTTTATTAGTAAATGACTTTTAGCTTATTTTATGCAGATCACATTTAAGCAGATTTTGGCAGCTGATCCCGATCACTGTCCAGGTAAATTGCTTTGCCTTTGCATACATATTTTTATAAGCATCATTATATAGCATATTCAGTCAAAATACTTCTAATTTTGTTGCTGCTCAAGATCATACTTTAAGTTTGTTATTGTGTTTACAAGCCTCAAGTTCACTGTGGTATATACCACTCTTCAAAAACACTGCAAGGTACACTACAAGCGGTCAGAGTTGCAAATATATTAGAATTGTAGTGTTCACTAATGAACTAGCATGCAAAAAGCGTTTGAGCGCTTATCTATGACTGTTAGTGGCCTTTCTCCTTTTAGGAAGTACTTTGGATGGTAGCAAGTGGAACGCATAACTTTTGTTGTAGTCACCCTAATCGATGAATGTAAATCAACTCGATTGACTGATTTATCATATTTAAGTACTTCACAGTTGAAGAGTTGGTGCAGGCCAGTCCTGCTTACGTTTAACATGGTGAATTAAATGCTCATGGTATTATTATGATTGCATCACTTAAAAAGCCTTAGAGACATCAGTGCTGATTATAGTGACCCAGCAGCTCATGATCAAACCGTAATATCATGTGCTCAGTCCTGTAAGGACTGTAATGGGTATTGTAGAGGACTTATAAAAGTGGACGCTTTTAGTGAAACCTGTACTGTTTTAAATTTATTTACACTTGTGTTTGTTCCAACTTTTAAGCAAGTCTTTCACTTACCTCTAGCCGGTTGTTTAATGTAATTTTTAAACACAGTTTATGCGTGATTGTTCATTCACACTCCTTAGCTTGTGTCATTAAGTTATACAGCATATTCAAAGAGTATATTTGGGGTTTTGGGGTTTTTAATCATTATTTTATGTTAATCCTGGATTGAATTAGCCACCCTGGCCTTAGCATTTGGGATTCTTAGTTGGATATCCCAATTTCGCCTTGTTCTTCAATTCGAAGTTGTCTGTCCGGCTGCAGCTAGCAGTGGAGTCCACAATGTGTACTTTGTTTCTTCTGGGGCTTGTCTGCTGGATATACCTGCACTTTTAACTAGTGAGCATACAACTCAAGTCTTCCCGATTTAGACAGGATTTGCTATTATATGTACTCTGCAACTATATAGGCCTTTTTTACGAAAAGCAAATACTTGACTTGGCTGGCATTTTATTTGTTTAGTTCACTGCTTGTTAGCTTATGAATAGTTCTGACTTTTCACTGAGATTTTAACTCGCTCAGAAAGTTCACTTCTACAGTCAAAAGTTAGCGATTGCTTGCCTGTGGAGAAATTTTGTAATAAACTTTGTTTTTGTCTGTAAGTAGTCCGATACATCCCTCTTATGTCTTATAAAACTACTCAGTGCTTAAAATCGCTGACTTACTAATGTAAGGATAGCTAACATCCCATTGTGTTGGATCGTATTCGCATATGTTGTAATGAACTCAAATTTTGTCCGTTCGGTGGAACTGAGGCATTCCGCTTACTGGGTCCTTATTAATTATTTAACATTAAGCATAATATGATATATGATACGAGGTGTATTTTCCGCCCCACAAATATGAAGAATTATTGTTGCTTACGTTTATCATCAAATATCTTTGGAAACATTCTCCATAAAGTGCGTTGGTGGCACAGCCATAGAATGCTTACCAACCAAGCATGTGGTCCGGGGTTCGATCCCTGGTCGAAGCACTCCTTTACCTCACTAAGCCAGTAATGACTGGTAAAGAGGGAAGGTTGGGCATGAGGCTGGCAACCCCATACCATAAAAACAAATACCACTACTACTGAAACTTCAAAGCTCTAGCTTGAAGCCACTTGGAATGTCAAGGGATAAAAAAATTCTTCATAAATAATATCAAGGCTCTAACAAACACCGTCTTTTTACAAACGCAGTTATTAGCGAATCAATTTTCCTTTTTATGACCATCATGGATAAGTACCGGCTTTAACTGAAACCTGAGAACAGACACGTATTTATCTACTCCGTTGAATGACACTATTTCTCTAGTTATAGGGTATATTCCGTTTTGCTAACTGAAGCATTTTACGGCATTCATTGAAAGGACTGGTTTTTCTAAGGCTCATCGTTTGAAGGCTTACAGTAGACTGCATTCTGTGGTTGATAACAAAAAAGATGTATTGTCACAAGGATGGTTGCTAATATTGATAAATTCGTAAGAGAAGTAGTATGGGGGTAGGGTGGTAGGGTTTCATAATGACCTGTATAGTTTAATGAATGAGTTGCAATCAGAATGCACACAGAAACGAAGAAAATGTAATATTGAATAAAATCTCGAAAAAAGAGAAGGGTTATAAAGAGTTAAAGGAACGAAAGCATCTTGATGGCTAGAGTTTTAGTAATGCAATACTCTCCCTAACGCCCCTATTTTCTTTGTTTCTATGAACATCTTGATTACTACTTATCTACCACATTATTTATCTCACTGTGTAACCCTGTCATCCTTATTCAACTTCTTTTATGTATTGATCAATATTAGTAACTATTTTTGCATTTTTTCCTTTCTGAATGAAACACAGGACTTCAGGAGTTGAAGTTTTAGTAGCGGTGGTGTTATTTTCATAGGACGGGTTTGTTAGTCTTAAAACCAAGAATTCTTTGTCATTTTTAAGATGCAAATTTACCATAGTCTAGCTCTGGACGACAATAAAGCTGAAGTTTAGATATCAGTTTGGGAATGTTAAGAGGCTGGTTTGTCCCTTTTCAAATGGAAAATGTAATGTCATAATTACTGCTGCTTTAGGTGCAGCTTGACAGTACAAATAAAATTTCTTAGATATCCTGACCACTTCACTTGTCTGGATAGCTGCATTAGTTCATACAGTTTAGTGAATGATTGGAGTTTCACATCCGTTTTGGATTGGGAAAACTGTATAGTTAGTGTATCTGAGTGTTGATCAACAGTTAAGTATTCTAACCACATGTGCACTTTATCTTTCTCTAAACAAAGTTTACTCAGTAGACGAAGAAATTTTAACGCAGATACTTTGTATTGATATAAAATTTATAGAAATCAAGATGCCGATAGATTATTTAACAACAACACAAGCGAAGAAACACGTAGACTTACAGGTTCTTGGTAATTACTATTGATAATGTACCTCAAGATTGAAAGCAGTAAATAAGATGCATTAACATTTTTTGCCACACTTTCAACGCTATATAATTCTATATTATTATTCCTATTGTTTTCTTGCCCCTTAATACTTCATCCAGCAGTATTTTTATCATTAGATTCGTTTTTTATATTTCAACTGGCTAATTTTTCATCTCTCTGGTGATGTAAACTGTCGTAACTTGAAAACATTTAACCATTGTTTTGCATCCTACATTATACGTAAAATAATATGCTGACAAAGTAGTGAACAATACGAGGAGGAGGATAAAATGAAGCAACGGTCGACCATACCTGTTTTCGTACGATTCACATAACTAATATAGATTCCTAATGTAAACTTTGTTATTTATTGATTTGTTTTAATAGTGTATGGGTGCAACACTAAATAGAATTCAATCATGTATAGACTAATCTTCTGTTATTTCCTAAGTAATGGTTTCTGGTGTACCTGACCTAATTCACAAAACTACCTAAATTTACGGTTCCAAGTATTAACATAGTTTTCATTTTATCAGTCTAAATATTAAACAAATGAAATAGTGATTTCTTCTATAGATTTTTTCTCTGCAATTTCTTTTTGTATATACCATATTTTTCTTTCATTTTTTTTCGTTGTTGTTGAAAGGTCAACGAATCAAGTGTTATAGTTGCAGTTCTGTGCAAGACAGCCATTGTAATGATCCATTTCCCAAGCAACCACAACAGACAAAATCATTTCCATTGGTTGACTGCAATGATTATTGCTTTAAATGGGCTTTTCAAAGTCCAGGTAAATAAGTGAATCTTTTGTTCTAATTAGGAGATTTATACTTGCTTTCAAAATTACATTTATATATATATATATATATATATATATATAATCGTACATATAGTAGTTTTGATAGCCATCTTGATTGTAATAGGTTTCATATTAATTGTCAATTATCCCTATAACGTTGACAGCTGTTTAGTGAGAGATCCAGGTGGTATATTCGGTTTTTCGCGAAATTCTTTTCTCCATAAGAAATGTCTTTATTACTAGTATTCACCTTACTACTTAACCTAAGGCACACTTAAATGGGATATTGTTAAACACAATGAGAACGATGAATAGTACAGTGAATGAAGATGTTTTTTTTGCAGCTCAAATCAGTAAGGTGTACGTAGATTTCTCCAGACAAATATCACATTCCATATTGGTCAGTTTTCATCAATCCATGCAATGTGTTCTTTCATTAATACTAAAAACAATTGTAAAAATCCAGATCAGTAACAAACTCCTGACATAGATATTCTAACATAGAAAGTCACCATTTTACACTGTTACTGTGTACCATTGCACTATTAACGGGTACTTTATGCAAACTGTTGAGAATTTTTGTTTGGGCACTGGTCAGCAACTAGTGTAATGTTTGTAGTCCTATCTTTGGTGCAGACTGAATTCTATCAGTCAGGTTTGCAATGTCGTCACCATTCTAGGTAGCTTGCCATCACGGTGCACTGTGAATTGTTGGTATTAGATGGTTGGAAGGAATTGGCAGGAAGCCTTGGACCTAAGTTTCATGCTAGTTAGCACTCAACAGTCAGCAAGGCGTATCTGCAACCTTGAAGGAACCCTTGTCCTTTCTGAGATTCGAACCCGCGTCACCCAGTGCTGCAGTCAGAGACGTTACCACTGAGCTGTTCGAGCTTGCGACTGACCTCCTGTAGGACTGTATTGGATATTTTTGATTGGACACTAGTAATTAGTGTGATGTGTCTAGACCTTTGTTTGGTGCAGACTGAATTCTATCAATCAGATTCGAATCTAAAAAGGGACATGAGTTCCTTCAAGTTTGCAGGTATGCCTTGCTAACGAGTGCCAACTAGTACGAAACCTGAGTCCAAGGCTTCCTGCCGATTACCTCCAACCATCTAATACTTTTGAGAATTATAGGATAATATCATTAAATATTATTTGTTATCGTAGTACATTTTATTGTCGGTAGTATATGCCCTGAATTATTTGTTGTTGTTTTTTCTTCATCTTATTTGTTGTTTTAGATGGGCAAAAACATCTAATACGTAATTGTTCAACAAATTTAAATATTAAAATGGAAAAGTATTTAGTGTGTATTGCTGAATCAAGATCATCAGTCGGGTATCTTTGTTTCTGTAATAAAGATGGATGTAATTCAAGTAGTCGAATAAAACAGTCCTATTATTATTATGTACCTTATATACTGCTTACACTTCTGATTAATTCACTATATCAATTTAAACATGTATTATTATTGCTATGTTAATCAATAATGATGAAATCACATTCATAACGACAACCGGATCAGTATTATATACATACTACTGTGTTTACCAAAGATAAGATTTGCAGATATGAAAAGTGTTCAGTGCATACGAATTTCTAAATAACACCAGAATTACAGTCCATTGAGTGCATTTAAGTAGTAAAAACCTGATCATACATAGTTAATCAGTACAGAATATTCTTCCCAATTAATATACACACATATATATATATCTTTTGTTATAGACCGACGTCAACTTTTGTTATTTATCAATAATAATGCTTATTGCATTCAGATGTTGTTTAGTTTCTTGACAAGAGCTGTTGATACACTCTATGACGACCTTTGTTTTCTTCATTTTACACTACTCTATATTTATCATCTTTATTTAACTTATTACTGACTTCAGGTTGGCATAGTTGTTATGGCTATATATATTCTATTTTCAACTAAAAGCATTTGCATTTAAAAAGAGACTAGTGATTCATCATTTCTCACGTTTTTATTCAAGACTTCTGCTCTCTCTCTTTCTCCATATATATTACTCATTATGACTCAGAGAAACAGACAGAATTTATCAACACAATGACATAACATTACTGTACAAAAAGGAGTAAGTTGTACATCAAAACATTCAAACGTCTTCCAAGTGTCATTTTTGTCAACCATGATCTCCTCTAACAAATATACAAGTGATGACAATCATACTAAGGTTTTTGTGAACGGATAATGAACTACTTTTCTCTCAATTAGATCAAGCTCAGTATAACAAAATCTATCTCTGTAAAGATTTTTCTTATATATATATATATATATATAAGTCTATTATTAATACCTTACCTAAAAAAACTTTATGTACACAGAAATCATTTATACATTTTTAGCAGATTATATAAAAACTGGACTTGGGTTTTAGTCCTTTTTTCTCTTTTCTATAACGTGCAATACAATCAAAACCAATTGATTTTGTATGAAACTCTTATTTATAAACCTGAAAATATAAAAAGGCGTTAAAAGCCATACTATTCAATAATTTTAAACTAACATTGTTATAACGTCTTCGGCATTTTTATGTAAAAGCTTTTGTGATGCATATTATTGATCGTGGAAATGAGTGGTTTTATGGAAGAATGTTCGATACATGTTTTGGCGATTTTGGGTTTAGTTCTCGTGGGTGAAGGCTGGCACTATATAGTCATATAGTGTTCGGTGTTTCTTAATAATCCTGTAATTCATGTTGGTTCATAAAGAAATATACTTTTAGAATAAATTAGATCCGCAGAAAACTGGACACCCGGGCAATGTCCCACTGTACACTGTTGTAGTTCAGCTTCTAGAGAGATTTGCCCAAGTTGTAGTGAAAAATCATGACCATTTTGGTTCATCAAATAGGTTGTAAGAACAGGTATTAAATTACAGAAGTTAAAGCTCATCAACCCTCAGTTCACAATCTAACGAGTCTGGGATTGAACCTTAGTAGAATTGAGGATGTGCACTTTCAAACCATTCCGAACTAAAATAAACCATCTATCTACTGCTGTCTGCTGGTTTAATAACCGGTATTGGCTTCAGACGAAATTTACTTTGGAAGCAATCAGGTCCTCAGAGACTGAATATCTGGATGTTCAGATAATGACCAGGCTGTCTGTAACACAAGAGATAATTTTTATACCTGAAATTTTATGTACTTCAAAATGTTATTCTTATGTGTATAAAAATATTTTATATTAAAAGTTTAATGCATTTTCTAACTTTATCTTTTGTCTCATGACGTTGAGATTGATGTTATTTAATTAAAAACGATTTTCACACATTAGAAAACAGAATGCTCATCCGAACTGGAAGGGGAATACCATTTTAAATAAGAACATTCAATAATAATCCCCAAATACCCCTAGATTTTATTATTTTTAGAATTCTAAGACTTATAAAAAGTAAATCTCAGTATCAGAAATTTAAATAAGGGACAGCAATACTGATTATTAGTTCAGGTCCAAGAGTTCAGTTAATAAACCAAATCATGACTGACTGACTAACTTAATAACATAGAACTTCGCGAAAGCGCATAATTTCTAATTGGGAAGAAATACAAAGTGCAAAAGCAGTTCAGTCAAACTATCCTGTAAGGGAAAGAACATGAGATAGTGAAATTTGGTGAATATTTTCATAATCCGAAAGAGTACAAAACAGCATACATCTGTGCCTTTTGCAGACCATTTTGGAGCATTTCGTAGATGGTCTTCAACCACTGATTTTCAGTATCTTGAGGACCTTAACCATGTAGTCTACACCCTCCTACGTGGCTCAGGTCAGCAGTCAATGAATTTACGGAGTGCGTATTCATCAAGTCAAGCGATCGAACCTTTGTTCTTTTTATATCACCTACTTTCAACAGCCATGTCTCGCAGTCACAAATTAGAATAAAGTAAAATTACTGCACAGCACACATGCCTTTTAATAACTGCCAGGATATCACATCAGTGCCAAATATGACGCAAGTTGGTAAATGTCAGACTATCATTCTATATATGCACTGTGATTTCGTCAGTGACCAGTTCACCCGGAGCGCTACTTTCAAACAAGTCAGTTAGTCGTTACTTTCAACCACTACCCTTTCTACTTTTAAATTAGGTGTCAGTGAAGATCAGTCTTGGATCACCAAAATCTTATATGTGACACAGGGGAATAGCGTGCCAAACTCACTCGGAAGTTTTGGACAGGATGTGCAGAATACTGAATTTACGCCAATGTTTTCACCTACAGCTATACCATCTGTATACTCTAGATATAAAAGACTATTACCTGTTTACACATCAATTCCCGAAACAGTGGAGTTGACAAGTAACACCAGTCACTAAATATCCCATGAAATAAATAGGAATAATGACAGTGGTGTTCGGTGGTATAGGTGCGTCGGTGGTAGAGCGCTTAGGACGCTCTCTGACTATGTACATGGTCCGGGGTTCGACTCCCGGCCGACGCACCCCTTTACCTCGTTGAGCCAGAAATAATGCTGGTAAAGAGGAAAGGTTGGGCATGAGGCTAGCAACCCCATCCTGTAAAATAAATACTGCTACAGAAACTATAAGGCGCTAGCTTGGTGCCCTATGTTCCACTGGGGAACGTAAGGAAAAAGAAGAAAAAACAGTGATGTTCGCAACAGGCAGCACTGGTCATCTTTACCCTAGATGACAGCTGCCTATAAGCTCCTACAAGGCTGCAAGATTTTGAGTTAGAGCATATTCATTAGGATGGCATATCTTTTAGCAGAACGGTAAGCAGATTTTGAAGAATTTCTTTCCTTGCTTTGTCAGAACTGCAGTCATTAGATTTTAAAACTGCCATCCTATTGTGTGGTTGTATAACTGCATATAGTGCTATAGCTGAACTATTCTCTAGATCTATTATCTTATTCGGGTCAACCAATCTATATTTTGCTAGGTTCGGCTAGTCTGACTGCCCCTGTTCTACTAGTTTGACCTATGTATTTGACCTGACAATCATTGCAGTCTCTGTGACAGAGACAGAGAACAAAAACTAAGTAGTATCAAGGAAAATCTAAGACAGGAAGTGATACATATAAGAGGAGCCTTGAAACTTAGTAATTACCCTGATAAATTAGTCAGGAAATATGTAGGGAAATGTAAAAGTAAATAATGATAGTGATAATAATAATAATAATATTAATGACGACATGCAAGTCAAATGTGCGCAAGACAACAACAATCATCAGTAGTAATTCCATACAAGGAAGGAACCTCGGAAACCTTACGCAGAATTCTTGACAATGCAGGAATAAAAATGGCCCGCGTTCAAACCCACAAACTCAATTAGAAACAAGCTTTGTCGGTTAAAGGATCAGTCCTGTGCAGCCTTTAAAACAAAACAATTTAGTTTATCTAATACCCTGCAATGATTGTCAGATCAAATACATAGGCAGTCAGACTAGCCGAACATAAAAACCCTAGTAAAATCTAGATTGGTCGACCCAAATAAGGTAAGAAATCTCAGCTATAGCACTATATGCAGTTACACAACCAAACAATAGGATGGAATAGGATGACAGTTTTAAAATCTAATGTCACAGAGTGGAGGGAGAGATTGATAACAGAAGCTTTGTTTATCGAATCAACTGCAAATACATGTAATAGGAATGATTCAACACCTGTCCAGTCGGATATCTGGAAAATTCTACTACCCCTACGACAAATAGGAGAGGACAAAGAAAACTATAAAACTCAAGTTTCGAATTCATGTGATTACAACTGATATGATTATGAACAATAAATTTTGTTTGGAACTGTGTGATACATCTAATAAACGAACTAATATGGAATAATAATAACAGCTTTATTCTGAACAACATGTCCATGTATAGTACAGAATTCTCAAGTAAAACAGTAATCTGCAGTGTAAAATTTGACAGAATTCTGTCCTATTTGAAACATGTTCTTACCCGTGTTTTATTTTCCTATCAAAACATAAGAAGTAGTATGTTGAAAGCCATCCAAAAAACGCACGTGAGTTTTTTAAGCATGCAAATAAGAGGTTAAAACAAAAAATAACTGAGTAAAAATTGGATGTATTGTGCTTAGTGGAAATTTAAGTTTTAAGCACGCCACCTTGTAATGGTAGAAGACAAGGCTGGATAACGGAATGTTTATTCGGAATTTGATATCTCTATGTAGGGAAATCATGTACACCTTATATGAAAGCCGTTATTTGCACAGATCTTCCGTGTTGTTTATTTCCCATGTTTCGTCGCAGTATTGGTTCATTTGCTCCCTTTGACGTAAAATCTATCTCTCTGCTAATTGATGTTTTTGCGCTGACGGACGTCTCCGTATGTACTACTGATAAGTTTAGTCAGTAGCACACACCACAGTGTGACATGAAAGTTGCACCTCCAAAATGTCTTTGTTATGCATTTCTGAAGTTATAATCAACTAGATAAAGTATTTCGAGTAGCGGTCTATAGAAGAAAATTAATGTATAGATGTTTTAACCATTCAACTCTTTTTGTTACTGAATGATTTATTGTTTTATGTCTTAAATCTGTTCACATAATAATAATAATAATAATAATAATAATAATAATAATAAGATTACGGCAAACAGTTCATTTCCTCAATCTCGACATCTGTTTCAAGTTCTTTAGTTCACTTTAGCTTAGTAAAATTAATAAAAAGATTTAAGGGCAGAAATTTATTGACCTTAATGACAAAATAAATTTTTTTCTAAAGAATGAA